CTTGACTTCTTTCGTTCACTTGTTGTTTGCACCATTCTCTGGTAATTGAAAAATTTCTAGTTGTAAAAATCATAAAAAAGCCTTATAAAAATTTTCACAGGCTTCCAAGTATATAAAGAATGATTTTTCACATTTTAAACCGCGTATATTTTAAGCATTTCTGAATATAAGGAAAGACCGCAAACTTTTTCATGAAGAATAGAAAAATTGGAATCCATCGTATACCCATGAGATTAGATTTCATGTGTTTATGCAATAAAAATAGTTAACTTCTAGCACGAGTTGTGATGTGGGTTGTTATAATATGTAAATTATGCATTTATGCAGGGTTCAATTTCATTGACCAATCAGAAGCAGTCTGTTGTCAGCGGGCGGGAGTTAGCCATTTGCTATACTCACGGGCTGTGCTCACTTGCATACTGCTTCTCACACTGTGAACTCGATTTCCCACCCACCCACCCACCCGATAGTGTTTCCCCCTTGCCTGCGGTGGCGCCGGCTGCTTGCCGGGTTTTTGTTTTCAGGCTGCTTGCCTGTGCTTGCTGGCTGCTTGCCGGTCTACCTCCGGCTGTTTTTTGCCGGTCCCTTGTGCTGCCTGACTGCCCCCCCCCCCTCTGGCTCTTTGCTCGATCTCGGGCTATTGTCCCCTCCCCGTGCGGCTGCTTGCCGGGTGTTCGGCTGCTTGCCGATGTGTGTATCTGTGGTTCAGCATATTTAATTTCGTGATTTGTTCGTCTGCTTGTACGTCCGTTTGTCCCCTCACCATTTGTCCTTTTGTCTGTCCGTGAAGTGCTTATTCTCTGTTGTGTGTGTCCTTGGCACAGTGTAAATGGTGGGGGTAGTCCTTTTTGTCATCCTTGCTAGCAATGTCCGTGTTGTGTTCGTTATTTGCATTATGCCGCACCCGCTCGTCGGGCTTGCTCTCCGGCTAGTCCGGGTGATTTCTTTTAGATTGGTATCCTGCGTTATCCAGCGTTTTTTATGGTTTCCCTTTGGTCGGTAGGTGCATATAGGTCGTTGTGCTCGGCTTTCTATGCTTACCAGGTAAGATATCTCGTACGTTCATGTTACTATTTTATTTATTAATTCCGTTTCCACCTGTGGTGTGACGTTAGCTCTGTCCTTGGAGAGGCTAATTCTCGGCATCATTGATATTAGTCAAGTCGGGATGCTGGGATGGCTGAAAGTCTCTTCTACCGAGAAGACAGCTGCGCGGAATGGAGTTCATCGTAAGTCGGCTTACCGAGAAAACTAAGCAGCCGGAACCTCTCCAACAGAGCTACACGCTCCAAAGAATTGCTTGCTTAAGCTCGAGTGCGTTAGATGTTAATTTGAATTTGAAAGGGTGTATACATTTTTTTGATACACCCTGTATGGTTGTAAAGTAAATAAATTTAATAAAATAAATAATCTTTTTCTCGATTCTGTCCAGGTATATCAGATGGTAATGAACCGATTTGGAATATCATTTGATGTTGAAGTTAAGAAAAGGTGAAAAACACGTTTTATTGTTGGTTAAGATCATACCAGTTGTTGAAAGACGTAGACCAGTTCCGAATCACGTGAATACAGACAGTATATCCAGTCACGACCTGACCACCGAACGTCTGTACCTTATCACACCAAAATTAAAATTGTCATGCCTATTTTTTTCTCTAAGCAGAGTAATACTACTCTAGTTGGCTATATGTTAGCTACTGACCTATGAGCCTCGCGGCATAGGTCATGCCAGGCCCAGACTGCGCGCGGTTCCTATGATATTAACTTGTCATGTCCCATCCTCGTCCCGAGGGCCTCTCAGCCGCGCGCGTCCTCCTAATTTTCAACGAGTGATCGAGTGAAAATGGCTTTGGGGACGAGAATGGTCACGTCCTACCTGTATATGCCAGTCATTCGGAAACAGAAATGAGGTTTATTCGTAATAAAGGTCATTATTATTTAATGTTTCTTTTAGAGGATATTTACCTTACGGAAGAGGAAGTGTCGTAGTCAGATCCAATCCTATCCAACACCTTCATAATGTGGATATGATAGATCCAGGCTTTGTGACCAAGATCACAGGACGGGCATTTGTAGCTGGTGGAAAACCCGTGAAGGTGAAATATAAATAAATGAAGTGTGCGCAAACTATTGTTTTATCGCCATACGAACTTTCAAGGGACTTAATTACACTGTACGTGGTTAGTTTCGGTCGAGAATTGAGATAATCAATGGACCATTTGCATTATAGACTAAATTTTAATCTAGACAAAAATTTCATCACAGCTTGAAAGAGCATCACAAAATTCGTAATATTCCAAAGTTTCGTTGCGAAATGTTGTAAAATGCGGATAATATGGCCTTGCGAAGTTTGCCGTTTTTCAGTCATTTTGTATTATACGCACGGGAAATTGACAGCCCAATCGGGTGTTGGGGCATCAATTTCCCGTTTGTAATACAAAATGACTGAAAATTTCGCAAGGCTATACACTATCCGCATTTTACAACATTTTGCAACAAAACTTTGGAATATTACTAATTTTGTGTTGCTCTTTCAAGCTGTGATGAAATTTTTGTCTAGATCAAAATTTAGTCTATAATGCAAATGGTCCATTCACAGGGCAAAATTTGCTGGTGGAAACGACAGTGGCAAAGCATTTTTTTGTTAGGAGGAGACACACTGAAATCTAAAACGATACTTCCGACATTGTAAAGAAAAAAATGAGAAGATGAAGGGAACTCGTAGAGCTTAAATTCGTTAATGCCATTGCCGCCTAATAGAGACGTGTCCATATTAGAGAGGTGTTCGCCATTAGAGAGGTAGGTGTCCGCAAGGAAAGGTTCAAGTGTACGTTGAATTGAGAGAAATCCTTCAATCATTTTCTATTATGAGGATAACAATATTGGTATCGATAGATAACACAATTTGGAATAAAGTTGGGATATTATACAAACACTACTTGTCAAATTTATTAGTCAAACAGTCGTTTAGTAGGTTCCTATCAAATTTTATATTTGCTTCATTTTTGCATAGATTGCACAGAGAATGGCAAAACAGGCTCAGATATTGTTAAAAGAAAAATTCAGCGACATTCCTATCACGATAGATTCAGTACGTGAATCTGACAGCAGATCAGAAGGGATGGGTCAAGGCATTTTGTAAGTTATAATTTATATATTGTATTGGTATAGATTATTTGTAACGATTGAATCTACTGTTGGCCATTAGCTGCGTTGCCAAATAAATTAAATGTGAAAATTAATGCCCAGCGAACAATTAAAGAAACCATTACAAGACACTTTATTATAGAAAAGATTGATAGGGGTTCAACTACCTAAAGAATACAAGTAAAACGTCGACGTTTGAAGCCGTTTCGACTCCGAGCGAAGGCCCTTCACTCGAGACGTCAAAGTTTTACTTGAAATGTTACACCTCCATCAATGTTTTCTTGTGTTTATTAACCTATACCCATTCACTGCTGTTAAAACGGTATGTTTACATTATTGCTATTAATATCGATTTTATAGAATTGTTGCAGAAACTTCAACGTCGTGCGTATTTTCGGGTTCGGGATTGTGGAAAAAAGGTACTGGAATATTTCGTCTGACGTCTTGGAGTGCCGATTTTTCCGATTCTTGCAACCAACCCTGACAATTTATTCAATACCCGACGCCGTATTGTAAAAGCAAGCACAATCATGAGTCTTGGCATTGTGTTGAGGGAATACACTCCATTATGCTAGCCTTCCTTGCAATCGTTAAGCCAGGTTTTCATTAAAGCTCAAGACTATAACATTATAGAGTTGTAGAGATAGCGGTAGGCCTATTGGGATCGCCCCGACCCAACATGAACTGACAATCTTTGAGATCGGTTCATTATGACAATAAAAAGTATTAAATGGTTGGAATAATCTTCCTACAGAACGAGTCAAAAACACTCATCACAAAACGTGTTTTATATTGCAATGGTTGCAATTACATTATAGCAGTTACGATTTAAAGCACATTGCCAATAGAGAGTTAGTTTATCTCATTTGAAAGAACGTTTGAAATTATGTATTAAATCTTGTTGCAGATTTTTCATATCAAGCTTCACTATACTATTATAAAAATATTTTGACTGAAAGCAATAAGTTGTCCACCATCTTGCATTTATTCTTAATCTCGTTAACTATATGGTTTTGATGACGTTACGTGTGGGTATAAACAAAATTGGAGATCAGCAACCAGAAACGAATTTCGGGCTCATATTGATTACTGGCTGTCAAGATAAAACATCTGCATGACTCCGTTTGTGACGTAACATGCATATCCAATGGCATATCCTCAATAATCCAAGTGAGCTGTTTGCCAGCTCACTGTTTTCAGCCGAAATATTTCAAGAGCTCTTGGAATAACATTTTTAGAGCTCTTTCAAATGAGATAGACTAAATTTTTACTGCCAATGCCCTTAACACAGCCATTTGCGTTGATTACATTAAAACCATAGGTGTGGAAACAGAGACTGTAGTGGAGGTCGCGATGAAGGAACTTATGAATAATATAAATTCTGGAGGTTGTGTGGACAACTGGATGCAAGATCAGGTGAGATACTGCCATGCGCATAATTTTCTTTCCCTACATCTCAATTCCTTATGTTATTTAAAACTGCCAATTGTGCATGCATGTTACTCAGATGTCATCTACGTACTATTTAAACATGAGCAGCACTGTTTTATCAGATAGAAAGATACGAGGCGAAGCCGAGCATCTTTAGGTCCGATACGACACGCTTATGATACGACACGCTTATGATTTTTCTTTGTGTTGTCCTCATGAATTATTGAGTTTTTGAAGTCTATATAGTTAGCTTTTGAAAGCATCGGCAACAAAATTTAAGCTAACCTTGTTGAAACGAATGTTTAAAACTGAAAAGTAAGTTACTTTACAAATTTCATATTTATTATTTTATCTGCAAAGGTGTGTCAATTTTGGATGGTTATCCTACCTATTACATCATAGATTTAGTCACAGCGGACACAAAGCTCCGGCCCAAATATTAATAGAGGTTCAGATTTGACTTCCAGTCCCGCCACCTCTCACAGGCTTACTACGTATTTGATTGGTTAATCGGGTAGATTAAATGCATCTGATTGGTTAATGGTAACGGAAGTCAAAATCTGAACCTCTTTAAAGCTTAGTGTCTTAATTATTGAAGTACGGCCACGGGTTGGACTTTAGTTCGAAAACGAAGACAGTGCTTGCCTAACAGTTTTAAACATTCTTCAGACTTCGAAATTGCTCGTCATCAGTTCTATGATATTCCCTTTAGATTATCATTCCAATGGCGCTCGCGAGAGGTAATTCTGTTGTCAGGACTGGACCTCTGACGTTGAAAACAAAAGCTGCACTGCGAGCTATAAAACATCTAACTAAGGTATGAGAAATTGAGTGAGCAATAAACCAGAGTTGCAACGAGTCATCCTAAGATCGAGTCACGAATCGAGTCATTTCAATATCTGATGGAGTCGAGTGAATGACTCCACTCGAGAGCTGAACTTGAGTTGAGTCAGAGAAAATTGATCAAGCCCAAAATGTACAAAGGCGTAATTTCATCCAAATAGGGTTTTTGTTGTATTATCCTTTGCATAATGCATGCTGTATCGCAGGCGAGAATAGCAATAATCGTATTTACTTTCGAAAACCTGTCATATTTTGTTTGTGATGTTACTCTGAGTGTATATCCACACCGGGCAAGCTTGAAAAATATGCCTGGCCACGGTGGGAATCGAACCTACGACCTTTGGAATACCAGCCCTTGTCTTCCTAGAATTAAATTGTGAATGAACACTCCTAAATGATAAATATTCTTTGAATAATTATGTTAAATCGTTGACCATCACTGGTTATAGAAGCAACCAGGGGCTTCTTTCGCGCAGACTGGCATTTATCCAACCGCGGAAGCAAAAAGCCTGGGTTCAAGTTTGGTCTACATAGACAGCCTCTTTCATTTTAGTTACAATAGTTCACTTTTCTCTCATACGACCCACTTTTTTATTTTTTCAAGGTTCGTTTCAAGATAATCAAAGAAAAACCTCCATTGGAGACAAACCTCATTAAATGCAAAGGTCTTGGTTACACAAACCTGTATCTCGACTAACTCTAAAACAACAAATGCCGAGGTATGAAGGCGAAATGCAAATTTTTCTCGCCCTTTGTGGCCTCGCCGTGTATCCATTTGCAAAGCATGCAAGAGGATTGTTGTTAACAATGGAAACCAAATATGCTCATGCAAGCAAATATTCAACATAGAATACAAAGATCTCAATATGAAGAGAGCTCTGCCTTCATTATCACCGTAGAATCCCGAAAAGAGCGACCCTTCGTAAGTAGCGTAGCTGCCCTTCGTAAGTATAGCGTATGTATAGCTGCCCTTCGTAAGTAGTTGCCCTTCATAAGCAGCGACCCTTTGCAAGTAGCGCTGCCCTCGTAAATATATAACGAGCGAGCCCCAACAGCAGATAAAACCGAAAGTGGGGCCACTACTCTCGGGATTGCACGACAGCAGAGAAACATGAAATTCATCAGTGACGAGAGTTGTTGACGTTGTGCAGACTCTTCAACACGGCAAAATGCGCAACGATTTGGCAAATATAAATAAAAACTATGTGGATAGTTTATTTAAAGATTGTTCAATAATGTTCCTCTTTGTGATGTCCCACTATGTCCACATGTAAACCAGTATATTTTGAGAATTACCATCTAGTTACTATTATCATTTTATTTATTATAGAAGTATAGAGATTGACGTGCAGAATCGTATTCTCGCGGCGGGCGATATTTTTCACTTGTGAAATTATCTTCTCGGCGTTTCGATTGGCTGGTGTTTTCGCACTCATAACTGTAAATATGCCGCTCGGTTTTACCGAAATAGCCAAAGTGGGAGTTTTTATTTTTTGCTAATTGGGCGACTATTTTCACCGATCCGAGAAGTAGTCATCATTTTTTCTCCAGAAATTAGTTTCAATCAAGGTAATCACTGCCGCCTTATAGAAAAACTTCAAAACTAACAGTTTTACAAGGTATAAATAATTAAATATAAATACCATGCGTTCTCTTTTAGAAATTACTGTAATTCTTAAAAAAAGAGTTTATGCCAGATTTAGCAAAGAAGACTGCATGACTAGCCTCGTTTTGGTGCTTTTTGGTTATTTGAAAGGGCTGTAATTTGGCTTGCATGAATTGCTGTCAATCATAAACTTGTACACTTTGCCTTAATAATAACCAGACTCTGTTCTGCAGACTCTATTAGCGTGGTAATGCGTAAAGTATAAACAATGCCAATTGACCATTTGCGTAATAGACTAAATTTTGATCTCAACAAATTTAAACAAAAATTTCATCACAGCATAAAAGAGCATCACAAAATTAGTAATATTCCGAAGTTTCGTTGAGAAATGTTGTAAAATGCTCATAATATAGCCCTGCGAAGTTTGCAATTTTCAGTCATTTTAGATTACAAACGCGAAATTGACAGCCTCAAACCCTTCGAGGCTGTCAATTTCCCGTTTGTAATCTAAAATGACTGAAAATTGCAAACTTCGCAAGGCTATATTTTCCGCATTTTACAACATTTTGCAACGAAACTTTGGAATATTACTAATTTTGTGATGCTCTTTCAAGCTGTGCTGAAATTTTGGCTAAGATCAAAATTTAGTCTATTACGCAAGTGGTCAATTAGTGACAGCTAGTTTTTGAATCGGTCTATTATCATAAAGAAAACACTGAACTCTGAAGGCTTTCATTGGAATTCCAGAAATATAAAAGGTACAAAATCTGTTTTTGAGGCCAAATCACTTCACTACTTGCATGCGTGTTGTTCGCTGTGAGTCTGTCAATGTCAAATAAGTATTCTCTATACTTTTATAATAAACAAATTACTTCATGGTTGGTTCGTTTGTACGATTTTTATTATTTACTCGTTGTGAAGTATCGCTAAACTCGCGATTCTTCACAACTCGTAAATAGTGGTCCAATGCACTCACCAACCATGAAGTAATCTACATATAACTATATACTTAAACATTTCCAAATTATGTAAATTTTGTCCACTGATACATCTTACAGAAAATACTAAATTATTTCAATAATACAATATAAATGCAATTTCAATTAATTATTAACCCTGAACGAAAGCGCGGCGTAAGCCAAGGTTGTCGTAGGGCGCTTTCCATTGAATAGTCTGACCGGTCAGACCCGAATTCTTTTCTCTGTATCAATGGAAAGATCTGGTCTATGTTTCTCAAATATCTAGCGAAAATGGACCTCATTCTAATGTTATCTAAATTTTCCGGTCAGATAGGTCCGAAGCCCAAACGTTTTGTGTTCCATTCAACAATTTGACCGTTCTGACAGTTCTGGCCGTGTTAATGGAAAGCGCCCGTAGTCTCCCACTGTACACGGTGATAAATATCATTTGACTATATTCTTTATTTATCTTGAGGTATTGTATCTCTATAGATCCGGGAATCGGTGGGGATCTTCCTATATATATTAAAAAGAACATGGAATTACTTTTAGATTAACGAATGGTGTTTCCTCTATGCCTCCCCCCCGGCCCTCCCCCATGCACCAAAGCAATTTTCACTTGTTCTAATGGAGGTTATAATTGTGTGTTTTTCGACGAAAAACGAGGTGGTTATAGTTTCTATTAGGATGGGATATAGATTCATATTATACCTCAACTTCAAATTGTCCAATCAGGAAGCTTAGTTTGTGGCACGTGAGCATGAAATTAATCGCGATATCACGCCTTACGTCATCAATTAGCGAGCCTGCGTTCCTTTTGACAATGTTCCACCCCATGTTCCCCGGGGAACATGGGGTGGAACATTATTCGCGTAGGTCACGCGGGACAACACGCATGACAATAAGATGGCCGACAAAACATAAATAGTATTAATGAGTGATGAATAATTCAATTTTAAACCTAAAACCTGGGGCTTTTTCAAAATTTTGAAGCAAATTTTGAAAAATGATGTCATTAATATTCCAAACGATTTGTGGTTCGAAAGAAAAGCGACGATACTTGCGTTAATCCGAAAATAAAACATCGTATTCACGTATGTGTCAACTTTTTAATTCTCATCTTGGGGGCTTTTAATTTTCGGTATAATATATCATTTATAGACCCTCCGCTCGGGGGATTCGGCAATATATTACCCTCAATGATGATATTTCCCTCGGGGCTTAATATTATCACTTCGCTCCAGGTCTATAAATGATAAATATCTCGCCGTTCATGAGTTAGGGTCAGCGGTTAAGGTTAGAGTCAGGGTAAGGAGAGGGCTCAGCATTCATAAACAGTGAGACATGAATTTATAATCTTTGGTTGCGCTTAGGTAGCCGCTGACATAAAATAGTCCACATTTATTTTGCCTTTGGGGTGCTTAAGTGATTGCGGAGATATATTTAAACTGCATGTTTATACATCCGTCATAAATGCTAAAATTCTCGGTACGGTTGTACGAAGGCCGGATAGTGATTTTTCAACCGTTGTAAAAATGCTTGAAAAGCTATAAAAGTGCAGATGTGGACCTCACAATGAATAAAAATAAACTTTAATTTATAAATGCCCAAGTTTAATCTGGATTAAACCAATCAATGGACAATTTTAGGAAGCCTGGAAAATCACTATCCGGTGGATAGTGCTATCTGGCCTTCGTACAACTGGCGCCTGCGTGCTTGGGGCACACATACACCATCATCAGGCCTGTTTCATGTTTACCTTAACTTAGACTATGTGCACACTGTAACGTTTTCGAGCGTTTTCAGCTGTAACGTTTTCAAAAAGTGTCGTGTTCAAGTCGTGTCCACACGAAAATGGATGAAAAGTCAAAACGACGTCTTATGACGAAAACGTTTTCAATGCTAAAAACGTTTTCGGACAAGCGTTTTCGCGTTGAAACGCTAAAAATCCAAGATGGCGTCTTAAAATCAAAATATTATATTGTCTATATTCTTGTTTCCTGGAAGCTTAGATCTTTCATTGGTATCATTAATTAATTCTTAAGTTGAAAACTTTAGCGACAAATAGAAGAAAATATATAGCCTTTCAAGTGTATAATGATTTATGAACGATTTAAACATTTTAAGAAAATCGTTAACAAGTAATGACTCTACTTGGTGGAAAATAAATGGTGAATGTGATAAGAAGCCTTGAGAGATGGAATTTTTGTCGAGAAAAAACATTTGCATGCCGTGAAAACGTTTCCGTGTGGACCATAGATATCTTATATACACTAGATAGCGCATCTCTTTTAGTAAAATTGAGGCCAAGAACATTGCAGCGGTTACCCCCATTTGAATAGATGACGGCTATGTTGGTAGTTCCCACTCGCTAATAAACGCTTAAAAAACAATTACAATAACTTTCATCATTTGAATAGTTTAACAATGTATTTGGAATAGGTTTAACTTAACGTTGAAGTTCTCTGTTTAAGAAATAAAAAACATACGAATCTTCTCAGAAATAAAAAACATACGAATCTTCTCATTTCATGGGAAGATCCTGAGTCTGCAATCACGGCTTCAATTTTTGAATTGCAGAATAATTAGATGCACTATCTAGTGTATATAAGATATCTATGGTGTGGACAGAGCGTCAAACTGACAAAATTGGAAACGACATTTTAGAAACGCTCGAAAACGTTACCGTGTGCACATAAGGCCGGTTTACACGACAAGCGTTTTGGGCACGGCACCCCTGAAAATGGGCACCGTGCCAAAACTCCCACTTCGCTATTTACTCGTTTACACGACAACTTTTACGCGACAACTTTTTGTAGACACTTTTATGATAAGCACCGTGCCCATCGGAAAACGGCACCTCTACTTTCCGTTTACGACGGTATATTTTAAAGAATAAAGATGTCGGACAAAAATACAATTATATATTTATATTTATTGGAACGAAGAAGTATTATATGAGCCGAAAATCGAGGGAAAAAACCAATTCAATACTAGAAAAGTACTTTAAGGGCCTGTTCATTTGGGCAAAAGTTATCCCGGTTAGCGAGAAAACTTTTCGACAAGTTTACAAGCGAGATCTCGCCTTGGTATGAAAATTATGTGAAAAGTTACACTGCGTCCATACGAGACAAAAAGTTTTCCCGTGTACCGAGATCTCGCTTGTTGACAAGCCAGATCTCGGTGACCGGGATAATGTTTTTCCCATATGAACACAACTTTCCCGTTTAGCGGGATAACTTTCTGTCGTGTCAGCAACTTTTCAATTCAATTCATGTTCAGTGCTACGTCACTGCCAGTACAGTAACTTCGTTTCTCCATGTGAACAGAACAAAAGTATTTGGCTAGTCGAATAGTTTTCTCGTTAACTGGGATAACTTTTGCCCATATGAACGGGCCCTTAAATACGAAAGGAGTTGTTTTTTCGTGTAAATGTTCTGTTATCTTGCATTCACCCGCCACGAAGTCGAGAGGTATATATGGATCGACGTATTAAAGGACAGCCATTTGCTACGACCTAGTTACTGCTCTATTCAGCGACGGACAATGGTATCAAATTTCCGAGTGAACGTGTTATTTAAATTTGTTTTTTAGCTTTGTTTTCTTTATTTTTGGCAAGTTGTAGTTTTTGGCCGCTTGCTGCCATATTGGAAAGAGGACAATTTGTTTTGCGCATGCTCGATGTCGAACATATATTTTTTATTTTTTTCGAAATTTTGGCACGGCACCGCTTGCTAGACGTGCCGAGACTACCTCGTGAGAAAGTCTCGGCACGTTTAAATTTTGCGGCACCGGTGCCGATTTTTGTCACGTTTACACGCCAAAAGGCAGAGGTGCCGTGCCTAAAAATTTGGGCACGGGTGCCCATTTTTAGGGGTGCCGTGCCCAAAACACTGGTCGTGTAAACCGGCCTTATAGTCTCAACTGTCAATACACCCTTTCCGGAAAGTGTTCAGCCATACTGCAGGCTCGTTTTCGTGATTGAGATATTGGATTTAGAACCTTTTATCTCGTTGCAGGTGACGCATCTGCGAAATCATAGAGTTAGAATAGATCATCTAAAAGACCTTTATATAATTAGGTCATCAGTGATAGGATAAAGGACTCCAAAGCCGAGATCCCAATCACTAAAACGAGGCAGTATGGCCAAAGCTGGGTACTTTCTGGAAGGGTGTGGTCTGGAAACACACCCCGGTACCTGGGTCTGGAAATACACCCCGGTAAAAATCCTAAATCCAGTCTCTCTCCTTCCCTGTAAATTCAGTTCTGTAAATTTACTTACTTTATAGTCTCTAGGTATGAAATATCTGGAGTCGGGAATACTCATGTCCGGTTCAAATTTTTGAAACGTTACTCTTGCCACAATAGTAGGCAGAACTGGGATTTCTAGTAAAAAATAAAAATTATAAGAACCTGAAATGAAAAATGCCAAATTATCAATAATTCACATGTTCCTCCCGAAGGCAGGGAACTTACAATCCTAAATGAAGAGAGCTTTATACACTCCTATATGGGGGATATTAATCGCCTTAGAAACCTCTCGTATTAAGGTCCATTTAAGCCCATTTTCCACTAGGCGAATTTGTTCGCGCGAACAGTAAAAAAGTAGGAACTGTTCAACTTTTTCGCGGCGAATTTTTTCGCTGACCAATCACATTCCCAAGATTTGTTTTTCGCTTCGCGCGAACAAATTCGCCTATAGTGGAAAATGGGCTTTACTGTACACGATACGACTAGTCGTATACGATTGTTATCCTAGCGTATGTACTCAAATAAATGCGTGGAAAGATGTCACATTTCCAATTTCGCCATAAACTGATGAACAGGGATAGCGGCGTCGTTTTCATACGCCAGAATGACAATCGTGTAAATGGGCCTTTATATTTAAATCATACACGCTCAACTTTGGCTTTACCATGTATATCAACCATAGTCAGCCGAGACTGCACAATGACAATAGTAAACAACATACCTACTCGGACGGGAAAACCCGGCGGTAACTTCATCGACACGAATTCCTTGAGCTTATCGAAATGTTTGAAAGGAGCTATGACTTCGAGAACATTTAGTAAACTGAAAAAGATGAAAAATACAATTAAAGGACTAGATTACTATACATTGTAGTCACTTCGGATTGGTTCATTCTTCATGTCATGTGAATAGTTTACAGCTAAATACGGAACTCACGCAAGCTACAGATAAGCAGCAGTGGCGCCGCCAGCTGGGGGGGGGGGGCACATATTCATATATTCGTGTTCTGCATTATTAATTTCTTTTGAAATCGATTGTTTTTAAGGTCTGAACACGAATATATGAATATTGCCCCCACCCCCAATTATCGAGCTGGCGGCGCCACTGATAAGCAGATAACACTGTTATCTACAGTATAGATTGAGCCAGCGATATGTAATTCTGTAGCAAGCGGCAGCTTACAGTACATACACGAACAGAAACAAGAAAATAGAACATGAACGAAGGACGTTTTTGTGAATTTTTTTGCACAAAAAAACAGACGTTTTAGTCAGGTTTATTGGAACTTTTCATAGCTCGTTTTGACAACTAAACGTTATTTTGTTCGACAGATCATTGTTTGTCGAAAGAGTTGATGAAATGAAAATGCAATGTATATTAACAAAACAGTTATTGAATTCGTTTTCTGTGATATCCGTCTCCGTACGTGTTGAAATAATTTCGGATTTCACAAAAACCTCATCCAGTTACTGTTTATTAAAAGATCTAGGTAAAGTATGAGAATGATTATGATCTTGTTCTAACAAAAAACTACATTGCGGGTATTTTATCATTTATGATGTGACGTTATGACATCTCATACGTTTTGATCCATGATCCTAGGACAGGATCAAGTACTGTAGGTCAGGATCAATATGCACAGTACTTCACCAGGGTATACAAACATGAGGGCACAATAAAGTATTTGGCTAATTTCGTCATGAATTATTAAGAAGTTTGAGTAACTACAGCCAAGATAACATGTACTGTACAGTAAGAAAAAAACTGGCAATACTCACGGTTCTAATTTGAGAGGAAAGTCTTCGTTCTAAAAAGCAAACGCCAAATGTCAGTTTTACAAATTGCCATCACATTTTTACATACCGTAAAGATACGTTTACACGCTACAATTTGCCAAGCACGAACCATAAAACCCCTATCAAACCTTCTCAAATACGAAAAAATTATCACCCTTCCGCGAAAACTATAGAGAGGTTCATATTTGACCATCGCTGCCGCTCCTCTCACTGGCTAAATATACATCTGATTGGCTAATGGTATGGGTGAGTAAATCTGAACCTTTATTCATTTGCCTGGAAGTTCATGTTAGTTTACTGGATTTCTTATTTAATGAGACTAGACTAAATAACCCATCCCCTCCCCTCTCTATTTAATTTGTCATACAGGTAAGATGCCCTCATGCAAGCAATGAGTGGAATAAATATTGGGGGGGGGGGGCTTAATAGAAGATTTACGGTACATGCTTGCTCTCATACTTTCCACAACAACTGAGATGTGAATCCTACCATTGCCACGGTGGCTTTTATTGTTTTCTTGTCTTCCTTTATAGTTGTCTTTCGTCCTAAAGTTGTAATGCTGAAACACAAAACAAAGTCAATCCCCGATTTTGCCATTTTAAAATTTTTAGTGCGTTGCGATTTCTTACTCTTCAAACGTTTTACTATAGGTCCGTTTACACTTGTAGTTTTTGCTGCGACCTCTAGTGCGATTTTCCTCTGCTGATGCATGTGAACGAGTAGACGAGTTACAGTATATGTACCCTCATCTGAACATTCATATTTTATAACTCACCACTGGTTCACATTTGCCAGGCTGTCAGCGTAAATCGCATCTAAAACCGCAATTTGAATACTCGGGGGGGGGCGGCCTTCCCCAATAATTTCTGAAATTCTTTGACTGATAGCGGAATGACTGTTTAACAACACCTTTTCAACCGTGAAATCATTGGTATAGGCTATAAATTAAGCTATATACGTATTGCATTAAGGCAAAGAAGATTTCCACCAACAAAGGTAACATATATATATGCTGGAAACATGCATATAGTGTTTTCATATTTAATAGAAATAACAAACTCACTTCTCTGTTTCACAGTTTATATACGTCTCCCATGTATAATGTTGCACAGTTGGTGGAACCAATGATCTTTTACGTTGTAACTACACAAAACATATCCAGAGCATATATCCACTAGGCTTTAATTACTTTAGACGGGCTAGTGTTTCGGATTGCTGGGTGGCGTTAGAGGTAGATGGTTTTATGGCACCGTGTTGAGGTAAGACTGCCAACAAGCCGTCAACAAGTAATGTTTACAACATGAGCGGCCGTGTTGTATCGGATATACAAACTCGAGCCGAAGGCGAGAGTTTGTATATCCGATACAACACGGACGCGAATGTTGTAAACAACTAAAAAAACGACTCATCTTATCAGTTCATTGGCGAAGTAATCTTAAAAATAAACGTTGTCTAAGCCGAGAAAATCAAAGTTAAAGTTTATGTAAATCAACATGAATCTGTATCACATATACAGTACGACACGCTTATGATTTTTCTTTGTGTTTTCTTCATGAATTATTGAGTTTTTTAAGTTGTGTTCACACATCTTGTTCCAAGTTGTCAACAAGTTTGGGCAACCCTTGTAACAACCTTGTTGATATTATCAGACTTGTTGCAAGGTTGTTCCAACAAGTCCGAAAGTCATGGTATAACAGTATTGTTACAACCTTGTGTCGTCAACCTTGTAACATTCTTGTTATATCATGACTGTATCAGACTTGTTAGAACAACCTTGTAACAAGTCTGATAATGCCATCAAGCTTGTTACAAGTTGTTAACAGCTTGTTCCAAACTTGTTACAACAAGTATAGGAACAAGCGGTGCGAACACAACTTGTCGACAGCTTGTGAACAGATTTGTATAACAACTTGTTTGCAGACCTGCAACAACTTGTGCGTTTTTACGTGTGTACCGGAGATACGATAATAGTCAGGGGCCGGTTGTGTAAAAAACGTAGTTAAATTTAACTATAGTTAGCGTTAACTACCATACCGTAGTTAAATCCTTAACTGTAATTAGTTAACTGTATGACTTAACTGCGTTGCACAAAACGTTAGATACTGTAGTTAACTAATCACGTAGTTAACTAATGACGTAGTTAACTGTGCGTGGGGCTCGCATGTTTAAACATAAAATTACATAAAGTAAAGAGTGATTAACGACTGCTGACAAGCATTTTCAACATGATTGTGGACTCGAGAAATCAAGGCAAAAATCAAAGAAGAAAACACTTCTTCCGTGAGATGTCTAAGTTAGACCAATGTGTAGCTGTTTGGCAATAACGTAATGTTGACGTGTGTAAAAACTCGGTGTGCTTACCTCTGGAACGGCGTCCATAGTATTCGATCCTTTGCTGATACTCTCCAACATTGCCTAAAAATGAGGAATTGAAAATCATTTCCATGTACACACGTAAAAACACACAAGTTTGTTACAAGTCTGTTCACAAGCTGTTAACAAGATGTATTCGCACTGCTTGTTACAAGTTGTCAACAGGTTTGGAACAACCTGCTGACAACTTGTAACAACCTTGTCGAAATTATCAGACTTGTTGCAAGGTTATTCTGACAAGTCTGTGACATGCTTGATATAACAAGATTGTTACAACCTTCTGTTGACAACCTTGTAACATCCTTGTTATATCATGGCTGTAACAAACTTGTTAGCACAATCTTGTAACAAGGCTGATAATGCCATCAAGCTTGTTACAAGTTGTTAATAGCTTGTTCCAAACTTGTTCCAACAAACTGGGAACAAGCAGTGCGAACACAACTTGTTGACAGCTTGTGAACAGACTTGTAACAACTTGTTTGCAGACTTGTTACAAGCTGTGCGTTTTTACGCGTTTATCCCGGCAAATGAATGAATGATAGATAGATAGATAGATAGATAGATTGTTTGTTTAATAAGATTAACACATAGCAGCCAAGAGGCTGAATTGCGTGCTAAATTTTACAAGAGAAATGATTAAATTAGTTATTTTATATTTACAGAAGTTTAAAATTACATTACAATTTATAATTCTATATTACAGAAGTTTAAAGTTACATTACAAATTAGCTATGAAACTAGTAAATTTCTAAAAAAATGTTAGCCAGTCTAAAACTGAATATCAGAATCGATTGTCAGTTAATATTATTGATATGCCTTGCAGATGAAGGGAAAAAACTGTTTCTAAATCTGTTCGTTTTGGTCTGAGGAACAACAAAAGACCTTGAGTGTCTAAGGTTGTAATTTGGAAAGTATCTAGATGGTACATGATTATGCATATTAGCTACTGGTGTTGTGGTGATTTCATTAAACAGTTTCTCGCATGCATCCACACGCCTGTCACTTAATGGTTTGATGCCCGATTTTTGTAAACAATCCGCATAACCTGTCAGTGGATAGATGATTGATAAAACACGCTTTTGAACCCGTTCCAGGGCATTAGATAAGTAGGAAGGAAGGGCGAAGTGGAAAACTTGACAGCTGAATTCCATGACTGGTCTGACGCAGGTAGTGTAAAAATTTATTATGTCAGCTTCAGGTACATGAGCACGTTTCAACTGAATAATAAAATAAATCCGTTTGTTCGCCTTCTTAACTATGTTAGTTATGTGTTGGTTCCATTTTAGATCTTTAGAAATTGTCAAACCTAGGATTCTTGCGTGGTTCACTGTCTCGATTTGGCCTGAGATGATCTTAAGGCGCGGAAATTCTTTCTCAGGTTTTGTAAAACTGATAACAAGTTCCTTGCACTTGGAGGCATTTAATTGCATCTTGTTTTCTACAGACCAATTTTGAACACAATCGACTGTATCTTGAATTTTACTGGGTGTGTTGATGTAAATGATTTCAGATACCGTAGCATCATCGATGTATTTCCATCGCTCATGATGTGGGGGGCGTAGGTCATTTATCATTAGGATGAATAACCAAGGTCCCAATTTGGTTCCTTGAGGGACACCGGAAGGAATGTCAATCCATTCAGACATACAGTCTCTTGCAAGTTTCACCCGTTGTTTCCTGTTCATCAGAAAGTCAATTACCCACCGCTTAATGAAATTTGGCATTGGCAATTGGATGATTTTCGTGGCTAGGATCTTATGATCAATCAAGTCGAAGGCTTTCTTATAGTCAAAAAGAACCACTCTTACAGCGTTTCCAGTTCCATCTGTGGCTTGAGTCCACGCATGAACCATAGAAATTAAGGCTTTTGTAGCAGATGATCGAGGGATGCCACCAAATTGAAAAGGATCAATTGACGACAACACTGCTGGAGCGATATAGTTTTCAACAACAAACTCTTCTGCAAGTTTAGACAGAACCGGAGTTAACGAAATAGGTCGGAGCTGTTTGCTTATGTCTTTAACAGGTCTCTCTTTCGGAATAGGTGTAATGTTAGCTTGTTTCCAGCATGAGGGCAGTCTTTTTTGCTTGTAGGACGAATTCAATAAGTCCGATACAGAGGGAGCAAGGATTTCGGCATAATCACGAAGAATCCAATTGGGGATATCATCCGGGCCCGGAGCTTTATGCGGGTTCAAGCTTTTCAGTTTTTTCAAGACCGATGAACCTAGATACGGTCTTCCGCAACCTCCCGAAAAAGCATCATTCACTTGCGCATGGCAAAAGCTAATGATTTACTGTAAGAAAAGTTTCATGGTATTGGCGACGGTGATACATTGGCGCACTATACCCCCCTCCTTCCAAAAAACTTTTCTGTGAATCGTGACTGTTAGAGAGCGAGCATTACATTCTTATTTGAGACTGTAAACGCCCCATATGCCCTAGCTTGCGTGGCGGGCAGTCAACCCGCCGGGGAACACCATATACACTACAATTCTATATTTGTGATAATGTACTGTTCTGCAGTACATTTACTGCACCAAATCAGTGCACAGTACGGTACGGTACTGTGATTTCCAGCAGTGAAAGTCAAATCCGAACCTCTCTAGTATTATCAACGTACCTTATTTTTCACAATATCCTCCTGCGTAAGATGTTCTCGTCTACAAAAAGTACTCAATTATTAGCATTATAGTTACCATACAAAAACTACCTTTCTCCGAAAAGTTTCATAGGTATATGTAATCATGCAGTGAAATTCAACCTTGGTTACGCATTTTGACATTTTTTCCCTTTTATACTATCTGGTACTGTATGTAATTAGGGTTTTGAGATAAAGCAGAGGTTCTGCAGTTTATTTACTTCGCCATTTACATTGTAAATTAGGTATTCAGAATTAGTTCATGACTGAGTCAGCTTTGTTTGATGTCAGAATTAGTTCATGACTGAGTCAGCTTTGTTTGATGTCAGAATTAGTTCATGACTGAGTCAGCTTTGTTTGATGTACCGTGGTGAATAAATCGCTTTTAGGGGCTTCGGTGGTGCAGTCATCAGAGCAAGCGCATTTCACCTCTGAGATCGTGGGTTCGATTCTCGCTACGAACTCATGTGAAAAGAGTCTGTCAACGCTAAGTCTTGGTTTTTCTCCGGGCGCTCAGGTTTCCTGGGTTAGGATGACCATAGTTAGGAAAGTAAGATCACAATTGTTGTAAAGATAAACAGTCTAGGTAAGTGATATAAGTAACCATGATATTTGATGTAATCGGTCACTGAATAATGTATGTATGTATGAACTGTATGAGTGAGCTGAATAATGTATGTATGTATGAACTGTTCAGGGCAAATTTAAGAATAGTATCATCCTGTAACAATACCATCTAACATTCTAAGCCTAACAGTATCATCCATAGACGTATCGTCCTATAACAGTATCATCCAGCCCTAACATCATCATCCTTAGGAGTATTATCTTACAGTATAACAGCATCATCCTTAGGAGTAACATCCTATAACAGTATCATCCATCCCTAACAGTATCATCCAATAACAGTATAATCCAATAACAGTATCATCCAATAACAGTATCATCCATGGCCGGATTTTGAGGGGAGGTGTGGGGAGATGCGCACCTCCTCTGAGATCGTTTTGCACCTCCCCTGATAATTTTTGTACCTCCGCTGAAAATGCACCTCCCCTTGGGAAATTTTCATTGATAGATCAAAGTGAAAATTTAACAATTTTTGGTTGCTTAGGGTTAATTCATTAATACACCACATGCATACTTTGACTTTAGCCCGTTCTGAGCCCTAACTTTCCACGGGGGTTGTGAACTAGACGGCCGCTCCACTATTTCCACCAAAATACGGACTTGGCATCATCCTGTAGCAGTATCATCGAACCCTAACAGTATCATCCTTAGGAGTAACATCCTGTAACAGTAACATCCAGCCCTAACAGTATCAACAAGATCAACAAACTGCTCAACAGTCAACAGATTCTTTGCTGTATTCAGTGAATTTAATATACAAAAATATTTGCTGTTCCACTTGTGCAATAAAGCGTATAAAACGCGCATGCACAACCAGATTTTACGTCGCACAAGCGTACATATAAGAGCTGTTTGGGGGACAAAACCTCCAGAATCATGAACTAAATTGAATGAATTACTTAGTTCACTCGGCCTCAGTAAATACAGTAACTCTTACTTATATTATCCATCAAGAAAAGGTTACCCGGAATTTTAGACGTTTACTCATTCAGATCAAGCGTATGAAATTTGTGCTAAACTAAAACTTTGTCATCTTTTTATTCATACCAGAATTAATTAAATGCTATAAGTTAATGCTAAATGGCCATGCAAAAATATTTATAACCGACCTTTTTCTAGTGACCAAAGTCATTCCATTTACGTCATAAACATTGGCTACATATGATCCAATATTTTCCTTAGAAATTGGAGAAAAATATAATTAGGGAGTTTAATAAACTTTACACCTGAGGGCAAAAGCAAACTGCACCTCCTAGGGCTAGGTTCAATGGGTTCACTGTTGAGTGTTGAGCCACCCGATGATGATCAAGGGGCCGAAGATACACTGTATATAGTTTATCTGCAGACTGCAGTTTTATTTCTTTTGACTTGACTTTGTTATTTTTCTATTTTCTTCTGACTACAAAAATTTCCTGGGACCAATGGCTCGCTATTTTTTCACCCCTGGTTTAATAGTGTAGTCGTTCAATTTTGAATTTTTAAAACAAAAGTTAACATGAAATGATGGATATACATAACAGCTAGCAAACCTGATTTTAATCATGTCAGTAAACAAAGTGCGGCTTACTTTACGTTAACTTAAGCATGTGTCGGCAGCTACCACCATAAAATTAAATTATAATCAAAATGGAAAATCTTAAACATCCTTACGATTTTATCCTCTTTGAAGAACCAACCATCTTGCGACCTTGAGAAAGTTATCGGTTTTGTTGACATCGTAGCTGATACTATGTCACTGAAATGGATGAATGAAGATTAAAAATCAATCGAAAAAGTGAAATAATAAAATTTCAATGATATGAAATATAAGAGTATACTGCACATGGACACTGTGGACTGTAATTAAACTTTATTTTTTATTCTAACGCTATTGGTAAAACATTTTTTCAGCATCTTTAAAAACGTACCAGCTCATTAATAGATCAACTTCTTCGTCTATTTCGGCATCGCTTTCCTGTCATGAGGAAATATTACAATACATTTGATAAAACGAATTAAAAAACTCATTAATAATTCATGAAGAGAACACAAAGAAAAATCATAAGCGTGTCGTATCTGTATATGTGATACAGATTCATGTTGATTTACATAAACTTTAACTTTGATTTTCTCGGCTTAGACAACGTTTATTTTTAAAATTACTTCGCCAATGAACTCATTGTATATCCGATACAACACGGCCGCTCATGTTGTAAATAGTACAAAAAGAAACGCTTCTATAATATTTACAACTGTTTTCAATTTCTACCTCATCTTGCATTCTTTGGAAAACTTTCTTTTCGTTATCTAGTATAGCAAACGACTTTACACCTAAAGTTAGAAGACTATAATTAGCAATTATATAGTACCATTACATTATACAAATAATGAATGTTTTTATTTGTGCAATGGTAAGAATATTTTCATTCGGTGAAAGATGGAATGTTCCATCCTCGTTGAATGGAACATTCCATCTTTCACCGAATGAAAATATTCTTACCATTGCACGAATAAAAACATTACCAAAATAGACTAATATGAAAAGGTTTACTGTAAGCTCCCGCCATTTTGACGAGTCGTATTTGCATTAAATCCCATTTACTGAGTTTCGAATATCGGGTTAAAATAAACTGCGATCACCGTACGAGAAGCATTTTGACGGATGCGATTTATCGAAAACACAAAGAGTGCAATGGAATAAAACGTATAGTACAACTGCACTCGCAAGAGTGCAATGGAATGTATTCCATTGCACTCTTGGGAAATGGAATTTTCTATTCAATATCACGTGACCATAAACAGCCAATTAAACGATCAGAATTCAATAAGGTATTATATAAAATACTTATAATACAAACCTTCAGCTTCTCCATTAAAAATTATGCTAATATCACCACGTTGCCATTTCATGTCAGCAAAATCAATAAGTGTGCTATCTAATCTGATAGAAAAACGAAATGTTGCAAGAGGTATATGTACAACGCCATAAGTATATATAAGTAGATTACATGTATAGAGACTTGTTTAAAATATATATATATATATATATATATATATATATATATATATATATATATATATATATATATATATATATATATATATATATATATATATATATACATACATATATATATATATATATATAATTTAATTTCTTAACTTAAAATATAGTCACAACTCTGAGTTTCACGCTCAATGCGATCTTCAGGCGACAATGTTTAAATCTCAATAAAAAAATTCCTGTATGATTACGTGCGAGTTCGTTAGGCTACTTGCGTGAGGGTATTGCGTGCGCACGTTCAAATTTTCCCGCCAAGAATTGTTTCCGGTGGCAACACTTCGAGAATAGCTCACATCTCCTGTTCAGTAATCTTTTCTTATCACCTTTCAAAATTTCGAGTTTCTCTTGGAGGCATAGGTTGCAACTTTTTGCGCCACTGCGATAAGATGATGCTTGCTTCAGAATGGACCACTTGATGTTGAATGTACGTTTCTTGTTTTTCAAGTTCCAAATGTGTTTGGACAGCTCAGTGGATTTTACATAGCTCGTATCTTTGAATGATGTCTTGTGGTTGTAATAACGTTTCTTGAACGTGTTTGATGTCATCCCAATATAATCTCGAATTACCCCTGTGTCGTCCGTAACCTCGGCTTTATAAACAACGCTCTTTGTAAGGCAATTATTGTTTAAGGGACTTTCATTGCTTTCTATGCAGTTACAGTTGTCTTTGGTAGATGCTACAACAACAGTTTTATTCTTTAAAAGTGTACCGAGGTTATGTTTGGAGATGACGCTTTTACAGTTATCCATGCAACTGTAGCTTACTTTGACCGAGTTTCTGTTAAAGATCTTGTGTAGTGGGTTAGACGCAGGGAAATACGCAGGGAAATGTTTGTCAATCAGGTTTAGAAAGTTTCTACCAACATTTGTTCTAACATTCTTACTAAAAGGTGGATTAAACCAAATTATATTTCTCGTTCTCGTTCTATTCTTCTGTTTATTATTAGGGGAGTAGCGTAAATTTGTTGGGTAATGACTACGGTGGAGCGCGGCTTGATAAAGAGGTGCAAGATACTCGATTCCTTGGCAAAGAAATATGGCAAAGACCGCGTCGGCCTTTATCGAGACGATGGTTTAATCCTACTACGAGGTACTTCTGCCCGGCTTGCTGACAAAGCTAGAAAAGATCTCCACCAACTTTTCGATGAGTTTCAACTGAAAATCAAAACAGAAATTACCCACCAATCTGTCAACTTCCTAGATATTACCTTAAATTTAAATGATGAAAGCTACCAACCCTACCGAAAGCCTAACAATGAACCACTTTTCATTGACAGTCATTCAAACCATCCTCCTTCAATTACAAAGCATCTACCATCTTCCGTTGGCAACCGAATTTCTCAGTTATCATCGAATCAAGAAGCTTTCTCGAAGTCCGCACCTCTTTATCAAGCCGCGCTCCACCGTAGTCATTATCCAACAAATTTACGCTACTCCCCTAATAATAAACAGAAGAATAGAACGAGAACGAGAAATATAATTTGGTTTAATCCACCTTTTAGTAAGAATGTTAGAACAAATGTTGGTAGAAACTTTCTAAACCTGATTGACAAACATTTCCCTGCGTCTAACCCGCTACACAAGATCTTTAACAGAAACTCGGTCAAAGTAAGCTACAGTTGCATGGATAACTGTAAAAGCGTCATCTCCAAACATAACCTCGGTACACTTTTAAAGAATAAAACTGTTGTTGTAGCATCTACCAAAGACAACTGTAACTGCATTGAAAGTACTGAATGTCCCTTAAACAATAATTGCCTTACAAAGAGCGTTGTTTATAAAGCCGAGGTTACGGACGACACAGGAGTAATTCGAGATTATATTGGGATGACATCAAACACGTTCAAGAAACGTTATTACAACCACAAGACATCATTCAAAGATACGAGCTATGTAAAATCCACTGAGCTGTCCAAACACATTTGGAACTTGAAAAACAAGAAACGTACATTCAACATCAAGTGGTCCATTCTGAAGCAAGCATCATCTTATCGCAGCGGCGCAAAAAGTTGCAACCTATGCCTCCAAGAGAAACTCGAAATTTTGAAAGGTGATAAGAAAAGATTACTGAACAAGAGATGTGAGCTATTCTCGAAGTGTTGCCACCGGAAACAATTCTTGGCGGGAAAATTTGAACGTGCGCACGCAATACCATCACGCAAGTAGCCTAACGAACTCGCACGTAATCATACAGGAATTTTTTATTGAGATTTAAACATTGTCGCCTGAAGATCGCATTGAGCGTGAAACTCAGAGTTGTGACTATATTTTAAGTTAAGAAATTAAATTATTTGCTCTACGTTATTAAATGGTATTGAGCACTCTTTCTACACTGTAAAATTTGATCATCTTTGGTCTCATTAATATATATATATATATATATATATATATATATATATATATATATATATATATATATATATATATATATATATATATATATATATATATATATATATATATATATATATACCGGGTGTCCCAAAAAAAATTTACTCCGGTTTGATTTATATTAACTTCTAAACAATTAAAGCTATCAAACAGAAATAACTTGCATTAAATAGAGGAAGGACTAACTTAGATTTTGATGTATTACAGTTGTATTTTGCTTAAAAATTCACGGAGATATTAATGTTCAAAATCGGGAGCATATTTTGGTATGTGTCTAAAATTAGCGAAAATCGGCATATCAAATATTAACTCCAGCGTTTGTTTGCTTAATGACATATCAGGCAAACTGGTATTTCAGCGAATTGTCGTTAGGGTTTGTAAGGGATATGGCATAGATTAAGACATCTTACATGTAAGTCTTAGCTCATTATTTCCTGAAATATGAACGTTCAAAATTATGAAAGTATTTAATAGGTCTTTGGCTTTGCAAACTTAAAGGTACATGAAAGACCTTGAAGGCAGGCGCTTAAATTTTTCTTAAATAGCCTAATTTTTTTATGTTTTACATGGGTTCAAAACAAAGTTGATTATTTCTCGGTTAGAGCAGGATGAATATTATTATTTAATGAAGGAAATAATATTGCTTTTTGCAAATACACATCACAGTATCAACGCTACTATTTTGTTACGTTTTGTTCCAAAAATGTTGGATGTCTCTGGGGAGTTGCTTGTTATGTCTTTAATTATGGAGTTGTATGGTTTGATCGTGTTTCATTCTCAGTTTATTCTGAGATTGCCAAGATTAAGAAAGGCAAAAGAGTTTGGGTGTTCTTAACAAGATTTCAGAACGTTGCAGAAGTTAGAAAATTCATTCAATGTGAAGTTAGAAAATTCACAATTCCATTGTGACAGCATGCCCTAATTCAGAACTACGAACGATCCATGACGATCCTTCGCGATGCAGTGGTCTCATGAAATAAGGAAATTAACGTATTCGTGCTGGGAACACATGCGGATTTCGGACGAATAAATCTTGCTTTTATTTTGTAGATAATAATACTTTGTTTCATAATAAACGATTTGTCAAGTGTCATTTATTTACTGGTAATAGTGCATGTTTCAGTCGGGCAAATCTTGATTAATATTTGATACGCCGTTTTTTGGATATTTCAGACACATCCAGAAATATGCTCCCGATTTTAAACATTAATATCTCTGTGAATTTTTTAGTGAAATACAACTGTAATATATCAAAATCTAAGTTAGTCATTCCTCTATTTGATGCAAGTTATTTCTCATTAAAAGCTTTACTTGTTTAGAAGTTATTACGAATCAAACCGGAGTACTTTTTTTTGGGACACCCGGTATATATATATATATATATATATATATATATATATATATATATATATATATAAACCAGGTTTATTTTATCTTTATCTATATTAGCTCTATACTTCGGTATATTGAGCACTCTACTCATATATGATTCTAAATGCATATTTGGTATATATATATATATATATATATATATATATATATATATATATATATATATATATATATATATATATATATATATATATATATATATATATATATATATATATATATATATATATATGTATGACAAAGCAAGTGATAATTAGAACTTCTTGTTTGGTACTTGAAGCTTAAAAGAATATATATATTTATTATATGGCAAGCATTTGTTTTGATGAATCGCGCAATTTGATTGGCTGCTGACGAGGCAGGATTTTCCCGTATTGCCCATGGGTAATACGCAATTTTTTTGCCCTGCGACAAGAGCCGAGTTTCAAACGGCAAAAAGTGTCTAAAAGTCTTTCAAAACTATTCAAAACGAAGAAAAATAAACCTAAACTAAAGAAAAGGAGCACCTTCTTTGGTTAAAGAACTTTCTCAATATGTTTTTGTTAGCGAAAGTCGAAATTACAAGTTAAATTTTACAATGTTTATAACTATTAAAGAAGTCAGGAATAGCTGTGTTTTGACTTTGTGAAGAGCTGCAAATCTTATTTGCAGATAGCCGAGGAATTTGACACCATCCTAAATAAAAAATACAACTAAAGCAGCCACAGATTTATATTTTTCCCTGAAAATTTCTGGGGTTTTTCGATAAAAACAGATCTATTTATGAGAGGAAACGAACTAAAAACGTACTTGTCCATACTGTTTGTTA